CGGGTAAAAGCCGCTGCGTGCTGCTCTCTCACGCTGTGGAGGGTGTCGAGCTAGGGGTGGAAAAGGCTGAACAAGCCCTGAGCTCCGAGGAGAGACATAGCTCTGGGATCGCACAGGACTGCTGTCGAGCACTGGTAAGTCCGAACTCATCCGCCAAGGACTTGTATTTTTTCATTTTAGCATTTAGTAAGCATGACTCTCCGTTAGCTGCACAGAGGTTTAAACTACGAATGAAAAAAAGATGCTTTGTTCCTTAAATCCCAAATTCCGTTACAAAAGCTGGTGCTTAGATAGCGATTGCTTTTAATTAACAAAGCAAGACAAATTCTTTAATGAAAATACTCCCAGTGCATCAGGTGGAAAGTACACACATCAGTCTCTGCTGGACAGTGAAGTAACGCATTGGTCTGGAGCGTCCCGGTCCCCAGAGCGGAGCACAGTGGTGGCAGCACTGAGAAGAGCAGGGTGGCACAGGCTTCCCTCTACGCCTCAGCCAGCGCAGCTGGGGCTGCTGGGCCTTGGCTGCTCCGGTGCCCTGGCCCCGGGGCACGCTCTGCCGCGGCCGGGACCCTGACTGCTGCGGGGAGGGCAAGGGCACCCCACATCCAGTTTGGGGTGTCCCCACCTTGCAGTGTCTTCTGCACAAGAGCCAACTGGAGCTACTTTCTGGAGCCTGAACGCTTCTTATTTTCTGAGCGCGGGCATCTACCCACTTTTTTGTTTTATCACCCAAGGGGAAGAACATGTTCCTCATCCCGTAGGCTGCTTTGACGCTTGAAACTTAACTAAAGGTTTTGGTCCTTTTATAGAGGCAGAGGTTCATGGACACAGGAGAAAGGGGAGAAAACAACTGACCTAAATCCAATTTTTAGAGATACATCCCATTGATGAGGTAATCGGACTCTTCAGATGTAATGGGTCGAGCTTTTTTAAGCTTCTGTCTCACTAAACGCAGTCTGCAAGCAACCATAAGCAGCAGTAAAGCAGTGATGGCCAAGCCTAAGGCTAAGGGTAACACAGCACCTACAACGAGGTTAAGAGAAATTACACTTTATTTAATACAGTGAGAAATTGGTAGAGAAAACCTGAAATTTTTCTTTAAAAATACAGCTAGTCTATCACTTACGTGCTAATATTTGGAGCAACTCATGCTGAGAAACTAAACCGTATGATCATACAAGTTAGGAACAGTTCAGAATATGGAAGTACATTATTCAGTTCTTGACTATAGTATCTGGATCTATAGCACCTGACTGAAAAACTAATATAACTCAGAATGAATTCACGTGGTCGGTTTTACCTGTTTCTGGGACTGGACGACCACCTCCAGGCTGATTTCTCTTTGGCACAATTATGCCATTCCCATTTTTATCATCTGTTCTTTTCCCTGAGGAACTGTTATCTGTACAAAGTCAAGCAAGATAAATGAACATTGCAGTTCAGTGACTCAGGAAGCCTTATCCACAGGACACTAGAATTAAATAATGTGAAAGCACTTAAATTTAATAAAAAAAAAACCCCAACAGTTTAAGAACTTCTGACTCCTATTGTAAAACTTGAATTTTGGAAATAATGTGAAACTAAAGCTAAAATGTAAATTCAATTTTGCATCGCAGACCACAACGCATCTCAAACCAAACCCAAGTGGGTCATTTTCCACTGAAAAAAAAGATGGATATAAATTCTCTTTTACAAACTTCCATAATGAGGTATAGACCAATCTAAGCTAAAACATTACTAATGTAGTTATATATAGGTGAAAATGAAGCCATTTCAAGTTATGTTGATCTCCACCCTTGGAACTTGTAAAGCGGGAAACGCATAGGTTGGCTACACAAATTACCTTAATTTTGCCTGTTACCTGACACATACAGATGCAGAACGTACATACTTGGGAGACATAAAAATAGGTGGGGAAAACATTTCAGAGAGGATGACTTGGAGTGACTTCAGCTTTGTGTAGTACAGAAGATATAGCAGAGCATTGTAACTGCACAAGAAGAGACAACGCATAGTTTGCTGCTAAGAAGCGTTCATCTCGGGAGTGCAGGCGGCTGCAGTTTTGCTTCACAGGAGCAAAGAGTAACTCAGCTGGGACTCCCTCCTCCTGCGCTCCCACTGAAGTCCTACACCAATAGCTACAGGGACAATTCATGCAAGAGTGACAGCTTAATCCACCAACACACCCTTGCAAAAATCAGAAATACGCCTATGTTTTTAAATGTAATGACTGTATTTGTTTTTTACTGATAAATATTGAAGGGCACTTTGACTGTGCTGTGTTGTATTTGCTGGCAGCCCTCGGAACTGTGACAATGGTAGTGGAAACATACTATGCTACAAAATCTGTAAAACATGAATGTGAACCGTTGCAACTGGAATTACATATAGTGGTGAGTGTTGAGGAAGTGTTTAAGTCAATTAGCTTGGAACACGCACCACGCATAACTCCTGCCCACCATCAACAGCTCCGAAGTGCTGCAGAACGTGTCCCTGCCAGTGGCAGCAGCAAATACACCTGACCATTAATTAAAGCTTAAATTGTTTCATTGATACTGGCATGAGGTTGGATTTGATGACCTTAAAGGTCTTTTCCAACCTTAATGATTCTATGAGGTTAGGGCCAACGTCCCCACTCTAAGGCACAACGCAGCCTCCCAGGCTCTGGCTTTATTGCCCTGCCATTATGGCTAGGGGAGCATAAACACTGACTTCACCTCCTAGGAAATGCCTTAGAACCAAGCCACAGCCCTCCTTCTCATTCGGGCTCTTTAAGTTGTTCTGACATGTAAAGGGGACTTAAGGAAATCCTAAGTGTAAACTGTACTGGCTTGAAGGTACCTGTATGATATCAGAGCTGTGCAAAATAACCTGAATGTAATTCAGACCAAAACCAGCAGCTGTTTTCTGCTTCTGTCTTCCCTAAATGAAATTAAATGAATGTTTGTCTTTAGTTTGGAAATACCCAAAAGACATTGGCTCTTCTTAGAGCTGCTCCAGCCTGCATGACAAGGCTAGATCTGGATGCCTGTTTTATAAATTTGTTTTCCTGCCATTTGAGTAAAGGGAATATTTAAGTCAACTGCTTGTAAAACATTTGGCAAATATATCTGGAGAGAAGTTTAGCGGGAAAATTTTGGAAGGGGAGAAGAATCCTTTCAATAAAGCTTGTAGGGTTTTGTTAAGACTTGTGGCTGTTCTTACGGGACTGGAGGGGCTATCAGAGTCAATACTGCTCAACATCTTATCTGTTATCAACTAGAAAACAGAGATTTCCCCAAACAGGTTTAGGAGCCTGACATAAAGCATGTTATGTGGGTTTCGTTTTGTTTTCACTTTCTTTTCATTTTCTAGTCCGTGCCTAGGAAATTGCAATTTATAGCCCTTTCCAGTTACCCTAAATTAGAGGTCTAGGTTATGACTACTGCTGTCAATGCCTCCGCAGCAAAAACATGACTAAGGCTCGGGCATTCAGTCAAACATTGTCATCCCAGCCCTGAACAGTACTGCAGAACAGCTGGCGCGGGCAGCCTGGGGAGAAGCAGAGACCCCGTGCCAGCGGAATGCAAAGCTGTTATGGTGATTTATACACTTGAGTTGGCTATGCTGGGGAGTGCAAATCTTCAGGCTGCTTGTGAATTCAACCCGTCTGCATGACCGTGTTTGCTAGACGGGCTATTGCTGCTTAGAAACCAGCCCACTGCTCACTCCAGTGTGCTTTGCTGCAACTGTATTTTTGCTCCATTCGTAGTACAAGTGCAGCAGTGCCAGAATATGCAGCTGGGCTTGAGAGTTTCCCTGGAAAAGGATGCCGGGGCACTTTGGAGGCAGCCATGCAGAATGCTGCGCTGGCCTTTGGAGGAGATGCAGTCTGGGTTACTTCACTTATGGAGATATGTCTGCAAAGGGAAAGGACTCCTTTATCGACATCAAATGCCTCTTCCTGCATCTGCTCCCAACTACGGAAGAAAATGTTTGGCCTTCCAGCTTGGGCAAAAGTAAACCATGAGTCTGTTGCAGAAGACTCCATGCCCTGAGTGCCTGAGGAGGTTATCTCTAAGTTGGACTTGGTGTTCCTCTGGAGTGACCCTGCTGCAGAGGAATCCCACTGGAAAAGCAGGAGTGCAGAACAAGATTCACCCACTGTCAACAATGAATGACTTTTGGGTTTGTTTTGGGGTTTTTTTCGCCCCTCTTTACTGTGAATGGATCCCCTGCTAGGTCAGGCAGAATTTCTAAACAGTCCTTACCTTGGACTTGCATATTTTCACATTTTTCATACTTAAGCATAAATCCTTAAAAAGCTTGTATCAAGTCAGAGCCAAATATGAGGGGCTACTGGAGTAAAGAAAGCAGCTTAAGGGAAATTGGGAACAGAGAAACTATCAGGAGAAAATGGACTCTGGGACAAATTTCCCTTAGTATTATCTTCATAGGCAGAAAGCTCATTCCTGCCGCAAGGAACTATCCCACAGCCCAAAAGGAACTATCCCACAGCCCAAAACATTACAGCTTAGCCCAGCTCCTTTTAAAATGGAGAAAAGATAAATATGGTGGTCCTTGACAAGGAGGTCCATTTATTGGACATCTTTATTGGATTCTCAGAGATGAAAGTCGCTTATGGGGAGGTAAGTAGCAGAAGGGACCTGTCTTTATCGGTACTGTAACTACTACTGTAATAAAAACAAATGTAAAAAAGAAAACAAAGCAACTCCCCAGTCCTGCAACTTCTTGGGAAAAAAATTCTGTTCTTTAAAAGTCAGCTGAAAGCTCCTACATCAAACATCATGTCTACCAGCCACCTAGAATGTGCCACATGCTGGCTCCAGTAGGTAAATTACCCTTAACATTAACACCTTCTCTTAGTCTGCCTTGCAGTCACTGGATCTAAGAGCATCACATCTTCCTTCCTGACTTGCATTTCCATGACGATCTGCAAATGCCAACTAAGAATTAAGACAAATGTAGCCCTGAATGGAGCGCTCTCAAGTGAAAAGCTGGACCCTGTGCTGCCGCTGTAAAGCAATATCCCTTACTACGTATCTTAAGTAGACAGCTTTTCACCATGTAGACATTAAAATCATTAAAGATTATTTTTGAAATTTATTTATAATAGTGTATCAGGAGCCTGGATGCTTGCAAAGTCAACTCTAGGCCAACAAGCAACGTTATTGTCTTGTCCAACGAAGACCTTTACAGTGTGACTCGGAGGCACAGGTTCTGCCTTGGCACCAGCAGCGGGTCCAGCACTGTCTCAGGAGACAGTCCATCCCAGAACAGGATTTCTGCCAGTGGAATTGCTGAACTTTTGAGGTGGTTGGTATGATTTCTCTTCAGTGCTGCTTAACTCTCTTCAAAAATGCGTCTAGCAATTATTGCCCTCCTGAACGCATTTCCAGGTGGGCTTCATGGAGCTGCTTCAGTGTTTCTGTGTCTCTCATTTTTGTAGCACCTAATTATTAGATTTGGTCTGTAACCTCCTTGAGATCGCAGTGATGGAGAGAAATCTAATTAATGGCTCTGGGTGGATTTTTAGGAACAGGTTAGATACCCGTCTCCTCAACTCCATGAAGATTGTGGTGCTTGCCAGTGGGGCAGGACTTGAACTTCTCTGGACCTCTGGGAGTCATTAACGTACAGCATGTGACTCCTACAGAGTTTAAGTGACTGCATGAGAAGACAGCAACTCAGAGCAGATTTTGGCGGTTGCCCTTTGGACCCAGGTACCTAGCACCCCTTCATGTCCCACCACATGCACCCTCTTTGGAACTGATCCATAGGCAATTTAAAAACTCGCTGAGCTGTTTGCTGCTTTTTTGGTTAAAAGTATTGGGCTCCTGGGTCAGTAAGGACCGGGTCCTACAAGGAAATCCTTAAGTATCATTTAGCTGAAATTAAATTCTGACCGAGCTTTGTCAAAAGAGCAATATTAAAACCACAAGAATTAAACCCAGACATGGTCAGCTGGAAATCTTGCCTGTTTGAAATTAAAAAGATTACAACAGCTTCTGGTAGTACACTAATCACTGAAGTCCCATCACATTTTTTTAGTTTTATGGTAATTTTTTTTCTTTTATTGTCTACTGCTGTGCAAAAGGCTACCTTGAGAGCAAAAATGGTGCAAGTAAGTAACTGTGCAATGGGTAAACACAGAAAATGACTATGCAAAAGTGCCACGCTTTTACATGCACTTCCAATTATAACCTCTGATTATAGGTTGCCGAAGTTGGTGACCTCAATTCTGGTTTTACTTCTGGATTCACAAGCCCAATGGTTTTTGAGACCTACTCAGCAGCTGACTTTCCATTGGAGCCTGCAATGCCCTTTGGCAATTTGATATTTAGTTTGGGTGGCCCCGTATCAGCTGTCACTCCGGACTATGCGAGCGAGAAGGGTTTTGGGCATACTTCAGAATTTTAAGTCATTCCAATAAGGAGCACCAAGGTCATCTACACTGCCAGAAGAGGGGGAAACATTTGAGAGAGGATTTTGCTATCAGTTCCTACACATTCACCAAAGCAGTCAAATTCTTGAAGAACGTTGCTTTCACTCCCTCTGTGGTCTCCACAGATGAAGCACAAGCATCTGAAGAAACATCAAAGTGCCAACCAGGGAAGTGCCCTTTACAAGAGTCAGCAGCAGAGGGCACTGAGCACTGCTCTGTTGTAACAAGAAAATAAAGCTGTTTATAATTAGCTGCATCTTGGGCAGCAAGAATCAGTCTGAACTCTGAAGAAATAAAAGTGGGAGGTCTCGCACTCATTTTAGGCTCTGTGCACGTAGTTTTGCTTTCTTTCAACTGCCATTTCAGATCATTTTAATTCACCAGCAAGAACCTTAAAAGACACACCAGTTTCATTGCAGCTTCTGGAGTTTTACCAAGGCAAGGATCGGTGACTCTGCCTGCAACATCACTACACATTGACTCACAACAGGCTTGCAGCCACTACGGACAATACTACTGGGGACTTGGGGTTGCTTGTTACCAAAGACTGAGCCGTCTCTATAGTGATAAAAGATTTCTCCTGCCCTGGAGACACACTTCAGGAAAAATGTGCCCATAATAATCAAGACATTACTTCAAGGGGGAAAAAAAAAGTCATCGATTAGCACCAGGAGAGATGCAATCACTCTCACCCAAGTTGAACAGTACTTTGTTATGTTCTCCTGAAGGTACCCCCTACAGATTTAAAGAGCCTTATACATCAGCTTACACAGCTGAACCCATGGCAGAATTTGTATTTAGCTCACTGCACGTTTTGTTCCTTAAGATTGTATTCTTTTCCTAGCATTTCTACATTTTAACTTTATTTTTGCACCTGGTAAGAACCAGACTTGACTTTATAAAGCAATACCTAGTTGTAACTTAATTATTACAAGCTTCTTTTGCATTTTGTACATTTGTAAATTTTTACTCTTAGCCAGGCACCAAAAGACAATTTAATTAAATTTAAGGTGCAAGACATTTTCTTCCTCAAGAGAGAAAGATTCATTGAAACTGGTTCGTTTCAGTTCTTACCTGGCACAAATCCACTGATTTGTTTCTTTGGTCCCTGAGAAAGCGATTGGTTAGACATGTCTGCGTCCACTGAAAAAAGCGGCTGATTTCTGGCAGTGGCTTTCAGGGTGTTTTCTGCAGAGAATTTTTCATCTGTGTTTACAGTCCTTTGCTGCGTAGTGCCAAGAGCCGCATGAGTCACAGTCTTCCGGCCCGGGCTGACTGTGTTAACAGAAACAAAAATCATAATTTTTATATTGAATTGAAGGGAATGGGAGTGTTCTGATGGAAGACCCTGCGATATAGGCCTTAAGGCAGGCTGAACAAGTTCATCACGTTCAGACATATGATGAATGCGAGTTCCAGATATGTAGCAAGTTAACAATTGCCCGCTGTCAGTTCTTAAGCAAGAGTATACACATGAACCCTAAAGTGAAATCCAGCAACTGAAGTATCAATGAAAGAGTGGTTAGCCATCATGCCTATTCACTCGCTGATGATTTTTGTTCACTTAGCTGAGCACAGGCATGTATTGAGGATGACTAATGAAAGCAAACAGAGTGCTGGTGAATCAACTGGTTCCCCTACATGCTCACATTTCCAGTGTTTCAGATTCTTGCAAGGTGCGTAGCTGCACTTTGAAGCATACCTCTGAGACACCCTTTCAGATCAAGACCAGGGTCCTTGTTTCCATAATCATCATGCAAGTCAAGAACTGATTTTTTAAATGTTGAGAACTCTCACAGAAAATCTGTCATTTGGGGACCTTTGACAGCTTTGATACGCTTTGAAGAAAAGGGACTTAATTTCTGAGCATCTGCTGTACGCGGACATTAAACCTTCCCATGTGCTGTTTCCAATGAAAGGCTCTACGGTGGCTGCAAGCTGCTTGCGCACGGGGAGAGAGGCCACAGGAGGGGCACCGTTTCCCTTTGGTCATTCAGGCTGCGGTTACTTTCACAATCTACACTGTGGCCTGGTGCACTTACAGTTCTGGCAGAAAGTTTCATCCGATCCATCAGGACACTGTCTCACGCCATCGCAAGCAAATGTGATGTCAATGCAGCAGCCATCATCGCAGATAAACTGGTAGCGAGAGCAAACCCCGACACAGGCTGTTGAGAAACAGTTCCCAAATTACCAGAAGAGAAATCCAAGCAGTAAATACTGAGTCAATGACTAAAATCTGCAGCACCGAGGAAAAAGCAAAACCATGCTATGTCAAGAAGGACCATGAACAAGGCAGAAAGTTGAAGAAAGGCCAGGCTCAGCTATATGACGCTATATTGACTCAGAAGCTAATATAACTAATAGCTGTTCCTGGGACCCCCTCATCACTATTCTGGCAATCTCTTTACTATAGGAATACTCAGCCTGGAGGCTGTTGCACCTTACACCTTGTGCAGCACCCCCACAGCACTTTAAACTCTGCTGGCCTAAGCTGAAAGGAGATCTTCCCAGGCTTAAAATACCCAGGACAGTCCTGAAAATAAATAAATGAAATCTCTATGGCTGTAACTGCATCTCTCCAACACATAATTCCTACTACATACCCATTCTGTATTTCTGACAATATGTTATTTTACATGCACACATATGGACCACATGGAATCTTTTATGGCATGTTTTCTGCAACCTAATTAGAATACTAAAAGTATGCTCGTCATTTATTTACATCAGCAATGTAAATCCAATACAGCACATGCCAGAACAGGACTAAGCACAAGGTCTCACAAGTGACCTTCACCAGAAAGAACTGATTGCCGCCTGCTTTAATATTTAGATTCCCCTGGAAATGGAAAGTGTCCCTGGACATTTCATTTTGCATACTCAAAGCTTTCCTGAAACCCGTTCTGACCTTGTAATTATCAAGTGTTTGCATCTGTGCTTTTGTCTTTCCAACAGCGGTGTAGTTCATTGCTTTGTAAAGCATTATCAAATTCAGTGTTTGGTTAATGTTAACAGCAAATCGATTTGCAGAAGGAGGTCACAGCCTTTGGTTGTTACCCTGCTATGTACCGAAAAGCTGCGCAATGCTAAGGAAAGTACGGCAGGAACACAGGCGCCTATTTAAAACCCCTAAAATCATACTTAGAAACTTCAGCACTAATAATAGCACCGGTCTTGCATGCATTAAGGCACCGTTGACTGGTTTAACCATAGTAGTAGCACTTGAATTGCAAATGGACTTGAGGAATTAGAAGAAGAAAAAAGGCAGCAAATCCTCTACGTGCTCCACCCAGAAGATACCACAGATACCCACAGTAGCAAATAAATAAATCACCAAACCTCTCTGGCTGCTTTAGCTGAACTAAACGTTAATGAATACAACTCTATCATCCATTACTGCAATACAGGCATTATTAAACAGACTCATAACGGGTTTTTTGTAATACCAGTTTATTGCCACTGGGACTACCCTCTCACATAGAGATACTGCACTGGTGCAGAGCAAAGTTAGTACTGGTTCAGCTGAACGTAGTCATGATGCTAGTTTAACCTTTACTTTGTGCCAGAGCAGCAGATCTCTATTAGCAACTTGCTAATTATGATGTAATTAGAATTTATTACATAAAAGAGTGCAGAATTGACAGCCACCAAAATCTAACTCACTTTCTAACTTTTATGCTTTTTACATGTTTCTCGAGCTGAGAGTTTTAAGATAATGGGTCAATTCCAGCTTCAGTTTCCCCAGTAACGTAAGGCTTTGGTAACAACCATTACACAGAAAAGCTTAAATGCATGAAAACAAGAAACCATCCCATCTTTTAGACTACAGATGCAGGCCAATATTATTATTAGGCTGTGTGTCACACCTACTATTAACTGCTTTTAACAGGGTCTTCTCTACAGCACAAGCCTTGTCACGTTCGACGCACCGTCTGACTATACAATGAACTGTTACGATGTGCCCGGTACGTACAGCAGTATTTCATTTTTCCAACCCTGCACGCTTATTAGCAATACAAGGCTGAACATTTAAATGCTTGAAAGTATTATTGCTCTAACAAACAAGTGATGCTTGCTTGCTTCCTCAACCTGAAACAGCAATTCAAAACTGAAAGAGAGGTCATTATGTAGTAAGGGCAAAATAATACACTAGAGACGGAGAATAAGATTTCTGCCTCCATCCAGACCCTTGCTCTGAATATCACACCCTGGGTGTCACACAGGCAACGGCTCCAGTCATTTTCTCACCTACTGCGGAATGAACCATGGGCAGAACGGTTACAGAGACGTTGTCAGAGCTCCGCTGACCTGCAGTGTCCGTCACAGTTAGCTGGAAAATATACCCGCCCTCCTGGACGTGGGATAGTTTCAGTGTTCCTGGCTGTGGTACCTGATTAAAGAAACACAGCGGGGAAAAAAACAGGTATTAAGGATCCACCCATAAACTTCTAGGAAGAAGGAACTCATTTCTGTACAATGCTTTTCACGCAGGTTAAATACTTCTCTTAAGTCTGGTCAGCCCAATCAAGCATGTGTATCAACCTGTAATGTTTTGGTCTTTTTTTTGCATCCATTTGTAAAAATAAACATGCTTGACATTTACATACTGGTTTTTGTGGTACACGCAATTACCTGGAGCCGTGGATCTTAGCACTGGAGAATAAATGGAACCATAAATTTAACTCAATTTTTCGGTAGTTAGAAATGTAACTTGAGAGGGTAGGCAGTAAAATATTTTGCTCTCTATCAAGTTAGTCTTTAGACAATATGAATTCACAGAAGTTACTTTTGCTTTACACTGATTTATGATCAGGTGACTGATAGCATTGCTTTATTAGTAAGACTGCCCACCTCTGTCCAGTATGACATTTAATGTAGTCACTTGCAACTTTTACAAATTGCCAGACTGAATTTTTCCATGCCCCACGCTGAATTTCCATGCCTTGCTCTGAACTGCAAGTAAGTTCATCTACAGTGAGTGACCTAAACATTAGGTTTCAGAAAGTCATGTGAGAGAGAGAGAGATATGCATAAACAATTTAAATTGGATTAGATCGTTAAAAAAATAGTCAAATAACTTATTTTATGATAATTTAAAACAGGTGCCAAACTGGCATTACTAGTACAATGGTCATTTAGAAATAAGTTTGTGTAAAATGAGTATGGTATTTGTATCAAATGCTGAATTTTTTCTAAATTTGTGACAATTACTAGTTACAAATAACTCCAGCTGTCTGAGGATTCAGTAACACATACTTCAGTAACTACAAAGAAGCTCTGCAGGTTTATTGGACACGTAGTGTATTTTTACAAATGAAGCACATAGGGCTATCTTTATAAGTAACTGAAAGGTACATTAAAAGCCTCTGTGATTATCTTTAATATTAAAACCAAAATTCAATAAAGACCTTTGGTTTTGCTTGTTTATAGTTGGTTTTCATGCCTAAAAGAGAACAGGAATTTTCAATAAGTATAATAATAGAGTCCTAGACCTAGCTTTATAGCAGGGTGTATTGATAAATTCATTTTTCTCATCTGGTAAGTGCATTTCCTAACTGAAATTTCTTGCCTTTTCTAATATCTGAATGCACTCAGTTATCCGATCTTGCTGTTGATTACTTCTCGATGGAGTATATGACACGCTACAATTTTATTCTTTATTGTATTACAGAAATAAATATGCTCTAAAAAACACCTGCTGCTGTTCACTGTGACTGCTGGGAGAGCAAATACGGTATTTAAAACTCATGAGCCGTGGAGTCCAACTCTCCTCTCAATGCAGAGCCAGAGAAAGACCACCGACTTCTGAATACGCCGCCACTCCTTCTGGCGACCTCCGTGCTCTCCTTTTTATCTCCGTCCTGCCCTGAACAATGCCTGACTGTACCTGCTTTCTTACAAACTTTGGCTCAAACTAGACTGTAAATTTCCAGATAATCAGCATTTAACAAGCCCAAGAATTGCCCACAAGTGTCACAGAGCTGTGCAGCTACAGCATGTGGGTAGCAATCTGAGAAGCAAATAAACTAAGAAGCAATAATCAGTCACAACAGAAAAAAAATTTCCACTGGCTTCCTTCTACAATACGGTAAGATCTCTTTATAGCAGTCGTTCCCACTCCTGCGCCTTCTATTTATTCTTTGGTACATAAGTGCAGTGCAACTTATCTTATTTAAACACAGCCCCATTCTCCCTTGTACCTGTGGATTCACAAATACTTTTCTAAGAATAGATGACATGAAATCCAGTAACTTCAGGATAGCAACTAAAGCACTAAAGATAGCAACTGAAGATTATATGAATAATCACAGTTATTAATTCAACTCTAAAAATTAAATTATCATGGATTGTCATGGTTTAACCTCAGCCGGCAACTAAGCACCACACAGCCGCTCGCTCACTCCCCCCCGGTGGGATGGGCTGAGAATCAGAAGCGTAAAAGTGAGAAAACTCGTGTGTTGAGATAAAGACAGTTTAATAGGGAGAACAAAAGCCGCACGCACAAGCAAAGCAAAACAAGGAATTCATTCACTACTTCCCATGGGCAGGCAGGTGTTCAGCCATCCCCAGGAAAGCAGGGCTCCATCACGCCTAACGGTGACTTGGGAAGACAAACGCCATCACTCTGAACATCCCCCACTTCCTCCTTCTTCCCCCAGCTTTACATGCTGAGCATGACGTCATATGGTATGGGGCTATCACTTTGGTTAGCTGGGGTCAGCTGTCCCGGCTGTGCCCCCTCCCAGCTTCTTGTGCACCCCCAGCCTACTCGCTGGTGGGGTGGGGTGAGAGGCAGAAAAGGCCTTGGCTCTGTGCAAGCACTGCTCAGCAGTAACTAAAACATCCCTGTGTTATCAGCACTGTGTTCAGCACAAATCCAAAACACAGCCCCATACTAGCTACTATGAGGAAAATTAACTCTACCCCTGCCAAAACCAGCACACGGATAATCATCAGGTTACATGTCTGAGAGAAAACCCTGCCCGTTTGAACACAGTGGAAAAGTAGCTATCTAAATATAAACCCGTGTCAAGATTTTTTTGATTTATCAAATATAAAGACATCACCAGGATTAATGTTAATTTTGCAGGTTTAAATAAATATAAGACTGGTCTCTATTTTATGGAGTGACTCTGAGTAAAAGTAAAAACATGAACTTTAAATTTTTTAATTAACTTCTAATTTTTGTGTTACTCTAGATATATTACTACATCACAGAAAATTTTAAAGAGCATTTGATTGCTATTTACAGAAAATAATGCTGCAAAGGGTCAGATTAACAACTCTTGAGAATAAAACGGTCGTTTTATCCAGATGATATCTAGCAACTATTTTTAAAGCTTCGTTCAGGTCTTTCCTATGTATTATGCTGTTTGCACTCCTTATGAAAGCCTTTTGACTTTTTAATTTTCAAGCCAATAAAATAATAAATTAAGATAAACAAACTCACAGTGGTTTTTGACATAGTTTCAAATTGCAATACAGCCTCAAGTAATTCAGAACTGGCTGACTGTAGTCACCCTTCCACAGATGTGGATCTTGCAGTAGAAGATAAAACTTGCAAAAGTACGTAGCACTGGCTTAACTAATACATTTGAATACCCCTGCTGTGTTTTCTGCAAGGAGTATGGTTATAAAAAATTACTTGTGCATAGATTTCAGCAACTATTCACCAGAGACACCCAACTGCCTTCTTAGGGTTCATCCAGCAGCATGTTTCCTAACCATGACATGGCGATTTTTCAATTACCTACGCGTTACCTACACTGCCCTCCAGGAGACTAGGGAATAATCAATTGCTCCGTTGAGCTTTTCCATGGATGACAATTTTAGGTTTCAATGCATTTAGCTAGCTCTTTATGTTAGGCAAAACTCTGGTTTGCTCCGTCATTACAAATCTTGAGCAACTTTGCTGATATTGGTAGTTTGTCCAACTTGCCTCTGATGTTACTGAGCCGAGCAGACATAAGCAGCAACTGTCAGGTACTGCTCATGGTGGCACTGGTACACAAGGCCTCTTGGGTTTTGGACTGTTCCCGTTGCTCATCCTGTCCCGTTTAAACTCATCCTATCCATCAGCAGCACCTCAGCAACAGCAAGGACTACGGTCCACACCCTCTCCCCTTTAACATGTCCCTCCTGCTCTAGGTGGAGTCCCTGCTGAGCCCTGAATAACTGTGGGCTGCGAACAGACTGTAAGTAGGCTCTGCGTTTGAGACATTTTTCCTTTCCTTTTCTGCTGCTCCTAGAGCATTCACAAAGAAGGGTAGGATGGAGAATCCCTCTCTTGACGGTTAATTTTACGTTGAAACCAAATTGCACAGATGCACCGAAATTGTTTAGATGCAATAAAACAGTATCTCAAGGTATCTTATAAGGTCTACATCACACATTTCTTTGCAGTTTCTCCATGAGCATTGACAGAAGACTGCTGGTGAAAATATCTTACTATTTTTAGTAACTGAATTACTAAGGTGTCTCTAACCTGGATCACAGAAGCCAAAAACCAAGTGCAGTGAGCGCAAACAATGGCAAAAGAGAGCAGAGCTGAAATACAGTAGAGTATTAGCATCTACTTGTTTGCTACTGGCTGTCCCGTGCCACCCTGGATACAGCTGAACTGTATAAAACACTAGAAATAACCACCGGAACAACCTCCCCAGCGACATGGTAGAGTCCCCATCACCAGAGGTTTTCAAAACGCGACTGGATAGGGCACTAGATAATCTCATCTAGGCTCCCTGACCCACAAAAGGTTGGACCAGATGATCTTTCGAGATCCCTTCCAACCTGGGCTGCTCTATGCTTCTATGAAATAAAGGCTCAGGTTGTACAGTCATCCTAAGTTTGGTGCCTGGCAGCCATAACCATTTGAACATATTTAATATTTTTAGCGCTACATTTAAAACTGTGCTATAACGAACACAACCATCTGCGAATGACTGGCCATGTGCAAGGTTGCATGTGTACCTTCATTTCAACCGATGAGTCGCCTTGCAGCAGCGTCCACTCGTACTGCACAATCCCACGGTCATCTGAGCTTTCTCGGCCATCCAAAAGCACCCAGTCGACAGGTGACTGCAGCACAATATCTTGTCCCGCCCTGCACCGTGGAGGCTTGTCATATTCTTCTTCTTCTTCAGTAAAAAAAAGAGAAGCTCAGTTATTTCTCAGGGGAAGCTGAGTGATTGTTTATATAAAACGTACTTTTTCTTGATTAAGGTATTGATTCACCGCTGTGCAAATTCCTGAAAGATAGGACATGTTCGTTAGTGCACATTTTGTTAAGCGAAGTAGTATCTACTTAAATTTTAATTAACTGTTCCATATTCAGTGACATCTTCAGGAAATAACTGCTACATTAGAAGCATAGAAAACCTCTCTACGTACACAGATGTTTCACTAATACAACGGGATTGTTAGCATCAGTGTGTTTTTTTAATCTGAACTAAGGAAAATGGATTTAAATATGAATTACATACATATTCAGATGGCAGTTACTGCACACCTTTCACAGCACTCTGCGTAACTTAATACTCTTTTAGTCTCTTTTTATAATACATCATTACAGGAGTGAAAGGCTTATTTAACATAAGCTGGCATCCTGGTGAAGCAGTGCACAATAACATAATGATTAAAAATAATCAGAAATGACCACTGATTTTAAGTGCCTAATTTAAGACATTCAAAGCTTGATTTTCAGACTATTTAGGATTCGTAGCATTTTGCTGTATTCAAAGTACACTTCCTTTTGATTAAAATTGTGAGTACTAAGTACTTTTGCCAATCCGACCACGAGTTTTTCAGGTTAGACTAACAAAACCCATGGTACGTTAAGTGACACGGCCTGTGAGAAGTGGTTTAAGCCATTTGCTCTGCAACCTTCAGGCAGTGCAGGGAAGAGAGATGGGTAAAATCTGGTTCTACAAGTCAGCATTTGACAACTTTAGCCACACGATCGTATCTTTCTGCAGTTCCCGGACCAAGTTTCATTCCTTCTCTGGGCATGGGATGTTCCCGGCACCCTGAAGTGCCAGGGTGCTTTCTGCTCGTGACCTCTGCAAAGGATATCCTGTGAAGGACATTGATGTTAAGCTCAGTAAAGCATCTACTGAGCACAAGGCTGCAACTTCACTCAGTGTGGGCAGAGCTGCACACGGAAAGAAAAGGCGCTTCCCCATCAGCGTAGGGATTCTCCCTTGCACGTGCTCCTCTCCAGTTTCAAGAACTTGCTCGAAGGCACGGAGCTCATCGGAGCAGTGGGACAATTTTTTATCACTGACTAAACAGCAAACTTTTTGTTTCTTGTTTTTCTCAGAAGTAGGTAAGGCATAGAAAATTTCAAGGCAAACGCCTTAAGTTAGGAAAACGTACAAATAACTGAAAACAGGGTCTAATAATAGAAAGTATGAAACAGTTCTTGCTCATCCAGCTGGCACAGGAAGTTTTGCCTAATTCGTATACACTCAGTTCTCAAAACCAGGTATGTTTAAAACGCAACATTTAGGTGCAAAAAAAAATACTCATTGTTAATAAACACCATCGTTATGGTGCCATGGCAACTTTTATTTGGTCTATATGAGTTATGTACAGTCTTCACACGATTATTTACTTTACCGATCACTGTCAAAAAGAGACCGACCTGAAACAGCACAGCCCATTCTTCCGCTTTTACCTTGGAAAGTGGTTTCATGTCACCTGTCTGGTTCAAATGACTCAATCAATGCCTTGCAGGGGCACAGACAAGCCCCACTTCCCCTGGGCCCTAAGCAATAAGGATCTTCTCTTCCCGAACTAACTTGATACGCCAGCAGCCTGAGTTGCAACAGCAGGACCACTTCACGTTGGGGCAGGTCACCGAAATTCATGCCAGTTCTTTGCTAAAGATGACTGAGGGACCACACTCAAGCCTCTGGTCCCAAAGGATGGAGGCACCACGCCTTTGCTTGTAAGACACCAGAACATCCTCAGAAAGGTACATCAGTGGCAAATCAGCTTGTCTCTTGCCCTAGCGAAGAAAAAACTGGCCTCAGAGAGACATCTGGCATGGGAAGAGACAGCCTATTGAGCTAAAGACTCTTTTTCCACAGCAAAGTTTTAAGCAATGGAATACATTAACTTCAGAGAGTGAAACACCTCCAAATCTGGGGAATACGTGCTTCTAAGGAGTCAGCATAAAAAAGCAAGGAGGCATACTCAGGAGTATGCCTTACAACCACTGACCGCTCATGGGAGTAAAGGACTATCAGCCACAGGTTAGCAGAAAAATCAAGCTCATAAAGCATCTTTTAACTTCCATTTCTAATGATTATTTAGATTGAGCGTAAATAAGCAATATGAAACTGATATACCAGATCAACACTCTGATATGCTGGAGCTGTGGGGTGGTGACTTTATGAGCAACCCTTTTTTCTTGGGGGAGAACACAACAGGCTTAAATTGTTCTGCTTCCTCTGTCCTTTATACAGATTTGGCCTGCCAACAATGAAGCTGCCAGCCAGTTGTCTGAATGAAGGCTTTGTTATAAAAGGGTTTTTTATTACCGATTCCTGAATTTCTTTGATATCAGTTTACCTTCATGTTGAATCCTCCATTGCTCACCGCTAGTGAGTACCAGAGAAGGAAAGTCAGACATTTCTGGTGAGGCACTCAAGTCCTCTTTCTTTCTATGTCAAAAATTTAAAAATGTACCTAACGAAGGCAAAAAGTATAGTGTATATATGTAGTATATATATGCCTCTTCTTTCAGTATAGGCATACGGGGTTTCATTGTTAACCCTGCACAAACTGCCTGGAAGTGCAAAGTAAATCTACAGCTAAACCAGCACAAACTGGGTGTAAAGTGAAGGGCTCGGATTTACACTGGAATGTTCAGTCCAGAAATTCATCCCAGTGCTGACTGTTCTGGAAGTACACAGAGAAACACTTGATCTGAAGAATACGTGTCTGTCATTAACTGCTCCCAGAATTAAATATGCAATTGGGTTTGGTTTACTGAAGATTTTTAACATAAATAAAACCACAACATCCTAGAGATCACCGTATACTAATGCTCAGAAATATTTTGCAATTACGAATACACCATGTTTATGGATAAATGTTGGTTTGGGATTATAAAAAAGAAAACGGTAGAAGACTCAACACCACAGTACTCTGAAAAAAACAAAACAGGTAAAACGTGATCCCCTTGTGACAGAAAATCTTGGAATGCAAAGCTCTTTCCTGTATTTCCTAAATTCAGTCATGGGGTGATTGAATAATGTAAGGGAAAAGAGTTGTATCTTCATCACCGTGTGATGCATTGCTGTCCAGATTAATTTTTCAACGTAATTCAAGAATACGGTGGTAACATAACATCAGAGAGCAAAATAATTCAATCTTAATTTTCTCTCTCCTGGTCTATGTCACAGCTGACAGATGTTTCAATAAAAGTTCATCCTCCTTCGTGGCTCTGCTTCAGCTCCAGTGTAATTGCATTAAGAAGACATAATCCCCTGTTTCTGATACCACCATCACCCACAAGGCAGACTTTTAAATAAACCCAACAGGACACAGAGCAATTTGCAGATTAGGAATTGAAATTGCCTTGCAAGCCCAGTGCTGATAGTCACAAAAGCTGCCTAAAAGGCAAGGCACTCAGGAGTGCAAGAGTTCAAGGAATTCAAGATTTCTAATAGGTAGAATATAATTTGAACAGTAGTATTATTTATATTGTGCCATAACTGCACTCGACATTAGGGCCAGGTTTTAATGGAATTAAGGCAGTTCAAAATGATGAAGGACATTTGAAGGTATTTCCAAAGGTTTTCAAAGAAGCCTAGTTCTCTAACTTTGATGCAAAATCTAATCTTAAGCCTTCTATCTTGCAAGTGCATACAGGGTTATGAAACATAACTACCCAAAAGTTGCTACATAAATAGCACCTAATACTTCCCCCATTGAAAATGTCAAAATCATACCTTGGGTTTTTCTGGCATCTTTAAGATCATCTTTACTGCCACAAGTTCCTCCCTATAGCTCCCTAGTTTACCTGCCCATGCACTTTGCAAAAAATATTTAGGCATTGTAACTCCTCTAAAAATTGAGCCCCTGTTCCCTCTTATCTCCAGGGGATTCCCGCTGGCATTCTCAGAAAACAGGCAGGACTGGACGGACCTCAAGCCTGAGGTCTCCCCTGCCAAGGGAGCAGCAATAGCAGGTGCCATCCGGACACACAGTTTTCATTCACGCCACCGCCAGGCTTTTGTCATGTTGCATGCCGGGACTAAATTACTTAAGTTGAGATATACTGCTGAAGAAGATGAAGAAGAGGACATTTAGGAAAGTATTGTCAACAGAAGGTAATGAAATTAAGACAAATTAACTTGAATTAAGATGCAACTGTTTCACAACAGGAGGTGGCGGAGTGCGAGTAAGTTCTTTGGATCAGATGCTAGGACACAGACTCCAAATTTAGAAATTCAGACTTGTTTTCATCTACTGCTGCTTGCTCCGATTACGTTGTTCTTAAATACGCTCCAGGGCTGAACAAACTGCTGCTTTTGATGGGGCCCAGACTCCAGAGGCGGTTATATAGAGCCTCCATGCTGCCCCTGGACTACCTGTGAGATACCCTTCTCTTCTTCAGTCTAGCTCTGAAGTTCTTAAGCAGGAAAAATTCTGAATTAAGTGAATGCGAAACCCACTTAGGTGGTAACTTTTCGACAGCAGCCCCAAGGAGAAGGGTATGTATGCTCTTGCTCGGCCGCTGCGTAAATCCCTCTCAAGCTACTGCACCAGGCGCTGGCGTAGCTGGCGCCAGCGGTTCACGCTTCCCAGGGTGCCCAGCTCCCGCAGTTCCCTGGGGAACCCGATCCACGCGCCTGGGACCTGCCTGGTCCCCCGGGGTTGCGGGGCCCGTGAACACGCTCATCCCACCGACCGGCTCCCAACC